TCAAGCATATGCTTAAGTCCCAGTGTCTTGTACTTAAGTACTGTTCTGAATCAAGGCCTCAAGTGGGAGACAGGTGTGCTTAAAATAAAGCCATATATTTACATATCTAGTTACCTCTGTGCCCTCTTCCATAACCAATTCATCCATTCCCCAGGATACTTTTCTGCTGAGTTCAGTGGTTCTGTGTATTACTGTCCCAAGCTTTTAAAGTGTTAGGCTGGGTGTTGAAGGTTAATGACTTCACCTGCACCATGGGATATAAGCCTATACTACGCCCAGCCTCTCCCACTAATTCCGTTTGTTTCCTGAGTCTCCTTTCATCCCCCCACCCCCAATGGAATTTTACAATTGATTTTTGGAGTGGGGGAGAAACCTACTGGATCAAATTAAACTCTGGTGTACATCCAGAGTGAATTTGGACTATTGATTTAACACACTCAGGACCTATTACTTAGCAAAACAGTTTGCATTTAAACACCAGAAAGACCAAACCACTGACTTTGTAGGTGTTTAACTGACATTTGCTTAGTTAGTTTCAGCTGGAGAGTCCAAAGAAGTTTACAAAACTGAAGTAAATGAAAACCCCCTGAGGTGGGTAAATATTAGCTCAATTTTTTTTAAACAGCTGGGCAAAGAGAGCCACAGAGAGATGGAGTGACTTATCTAAAACAACATGATGAGGCAGTGGCAGAGTTAGAAATAGAACCCAGGTATCCTGGCTCTCAGCCTGCATTCTAATCATCTTCTCAAATCAATCAATTATTATTAATAATAATTAATAATATATATTTTTTAAACCTACACAAGCTCTCTTGGAAAATGGGCTTAGATCCAAAAGTGTTGTTGTTTCTTTTTAACATAGAATTACTTCCAAAAATAAAAGATGTATCTTTTTTTTTCTTTGCACTGTAAATATTTCCATTTAAATTGTCAGTGTTGGGTTAGGATGGACCTGACAAAGCTTTAGAACAACCAGTGATTGAGCTCTGCAGAATATGCTGGTTTCAGTGGAGAAACTGTCAGTGCCTTGAATTAACACAGCTTTGTAGCTCTTCGTTCACTGCCAGATGAAAAATAACATACCCCCTCCCTCTTGTATTCTATTGTAGTAGTGCACAGTTCACCCCTTAAATGGTTCTGATTTGATTTAATCCCATTGCCATAGGACATTACAAAGTAACATCTCAGCCAAGGACACAAAAGTACTTGCAGAAGCTACAGGGAAGCTAGGCGGAAACTGTTTTTCTCTCAAATCTCTTACAGTTCCCTGTCTCAAGGCAGGGGAAACAATAATAAATAGTGAGCAAAGAAAATCAATCTGTAGTCAGAGCATTTGGATAAAGAATCCCAAGAAAAATCTGTGCGGAACCATTGGCTCTTGCCATCTCCTGTTTTTCACTCTGTGAGGTTTTTACCTGGAAGGATCTCAAAGAGCTGTTTTCTGTCTCCAGTAGCCATTTACTTGGAGCCTCTTATAAATCATCTCCTTTATTTTTTTTTTAAAAGGAGCAAATGTTTTTGTGGATTGTTATTAAAAAGAGAATCCTCCAAAGTCCGGAAGGACTATAAACCCCCATGCGTTAGGCCAAAAGCCAGCCTCTAAGGCATGTCTACATTTGGAGCTCGGTGTGATTCCCAGCTCAAGGAGACATATTGGCACTAGCTCCATGTCAAAAATGTGGCTGCAGCAGCATGAATGCCAGGAGGGGATAGCCGCCCCAAGTACATACCCATACAAGACCCTAGGCATAGTCTCAGCCATGGCAGCATGAGCGGTGAGATGGGCTAGCTGCCCTATATATGTACCATCCAAGACTGTAGGTACGTACTCTGGGCCGCTAGCCCATCCCACCGCTCATGCTGCCGCGGCTATACTCTATTTTTAGTGTGCTAGCTTGATGAACTGGGAATCACACTCCCAGCTCCAAGTGTAGACATACCCTGTCTGAAAGGATTAGGGAGAAATTTCCTCTATGGGCAGGTTATTCCATAATTGCCCACTTTCAGGGTTCTTCCCCTTTCCTTTGTAGCAGCTGAGACTGACAAATGTTGGAGACAAATGTCTGCACTAGCTGAATCATTGGTCTTATCCAGTATGATAACTCCTGGGTCTGCACATCAAATTGGCTTTTTTATGACATCCTTACTCAATGGCATCTGGGGCTAATGCAACAGCAAGCACAAGTTCGCTTTTAGGGATTTTGCTTACTGGATTTTGATCTCTTCAATCCCTCTTCATTGTCCACACTTAAGCCACCATCCTCCTCTTGATCCAACATCAACGACCTTGCAGGAGTTATCCAGCAGCCAGCGACGTGGTGGAATGTACAACTTTCCACCATCAAACAGCAGATACATTATTTGTGAGACATGCTTGGTCTGTCGGCTCACAAATTATGGTTAGAAACTGTCTGGTGTAGCCATGAACTGAGCATAAGAGTGGAGACTAGGAACTCCTGAGCTCTCCACTTGTCTCTGACTTTGCCTTGTTACACAATCTTAGGCAGTCACATCAATCCTCTGTCTCAGTCTCTCCCTCTGTAAAATGGGGATATTACTATTTCCCTCCCTCCCTGGGGTGTGGTGAGGATTCATTACTGTTTGTACAAGACTCTGACCATATAAAATGCTACTGTGATATTCAATCACTCTGTTGTACCCACAGAATATCTATATTCTGTTAACATAACTGCTCATCATACCTCTGGGAAATACTACAGCCCAAGGGCTATATTCACCCCATTGGCACAAGGGGATGGAATTTGCAATCCCCTGCATCAGTGGGGTCATTCAGCCCCAGGAGAAGGCAAAAGTTAGGTTCTACTATTATTGCATCTCCAGGGGGTCCTGCTTATACTCACTCCTTAACCAGCATTACACACTCCTAAGGTTGCACTGGATGCAATATCACCCCACTCCCAGCTTCTTTGTTAGGGAAATCATGATATTCTGACTTATACAGAGGTGAATATTTTAGCTCCACCTTCTGCTTCCCTTCCTTTTATTTTCCAGAGGACCCTTACAGTTAAGTTCTGCGAAGTCCATTGGGGCTGTTAGCAGGAGGCACTTGAACAATTCTTGTGGATAAGGGAGAAGCTGTGGATGTGGTATACCTAGACTTTAGTAAGGCATTTGATACGGTCTCGCATTATATTCTTATCGACAAACTAGGCAAATACAATTTAGATGGGGCTACTATAAGGTGGGTGCATAACTGGCTGGATAACCGTACTCAGAGAGTTGTTATTAATGGTTCCCAATCCTGCTGGAAAGGCATAACGAGTGGGGTTCCGCAGGGGTCTGTTTTGGGACCGGCTCTGTTCAATATCTTCATTAACGACTTAGATATTGGTATAGAAAGTACGATTATTAAGTTTGCGGATGATACCAAACTGGGAGGGATTGCAACTGCTTTGGAGGACAGGGTCATAATTCAAAATGATCTGGACAAATTGGAGAAATGGTCTGAGTTAAACAGGATGAAGTTTAACAAAGATAAATGCAAAGTGCTCCACTTAGGAAGAAAAAATCAGTTTCACACATACAAAATGGGAAGAGACTGTCTAGGAAGGAGTACGGCAGAAAGGGATCTAGGGGTTATAGTGGACCACAAGCTAAATATGAGTCAACAGTGTGATGCTGTTGCAAAAAAATGCAAACGTGATTCTGGGATGTATTAACAGGTGTGTTGTGAGCAAGACACGAGAAGTCATTCTTCCGCTCTACTCTGCTCTGGTTAGGCCTCAGCTGGAGTATTGTGTCCAGTTCTGGGCACCGCATTTCAAGAAAGATGTGGAGAAATTGGAAAGGGTCCAGAGAAGAGCAACAAGAATGATTAAAGGTCTTGAGAACATGACCTATGAAGGAAGGCTGAAAGAATTGGGTTTGTTTAGTTTGGAAAAGAGAAGACTGAGAGGGGACATGATAGCAGTTTTCAGGTATCTAAAAGGGTGTCATAAGGAGGAGGGAGAAAACTTGTTCACCTTAGCCTCTGAGGATAGAACAAGAAGCAATGGGCTTAAACTGCAGCAAGGGAGGTCTAGGTTGGACATTAGGAAAAAGTTCCTAACTGTCAGGGTGGTTAAACACTGGAATAAATTGCCTAGGGAGGTTGTGGAATCCCCATCTCTGGAGATATTTAAGAGTAGGTTAGATAAATGTCTATCAGGGATGGTCTAGACAGTATTTGGTCCTGCCATGCGGGCAGGGGACTGGACTCGATGACCTCTCGAGGTCCCTTCCAGTCCTAGAATCTATGAATCATATGAATCTATGAATTCCTGAGACTGTCTGGTGTTCAGGTCTATACGTGCTTTTGAGTCAAGATTTAATTCCTCCTTTAGAAGTAGTATTATGGCCTAGTTTGGAGCAAAGAGAGGGAAGTGTCCTGTTACAGTCCTGTTAATAGTGAGCCTAGAGGTTGATGGGAGGATATCCCTAGGGAGGCAGCCTGGGCAGGTTGACGTTTACACCAAGTACAGTGCATTGTTGGATGAGTGTTGTTTTTTTCTGGTTCCCTTTGGTGGAGGCAAATAGAAAGGGAAAAGTACAATAAATCAAGCCTCGCAAAGCAGGACCCTCGCCTTCTCTAGCTACACCAGCTCCCTATCTCTGTATCCAATGCAAGACAGCCCTCCTGGGTTTCAAAACTTTCCATGGACTGACTCCCCATGACCTTTCTGGCCTGCCGTCCACCCAGCCCTCTGCTTTTAGGCCTTGTCCGCAGACGCGACCAGGCTCCCCCCTGCCCTTTGGAGAGCTCCGTGCCCCAGCTTGGCAGCAACACACTACGCAGCCCTCCTCGCCAACGCCCCTGCGAGGCTCGCTCAGGTACGCTGCAGGAACCGCCTGCTGTCTTTGCAGCCAGGCACTGAGCGCAGCAACCCCTGGGAGAATCCCCGGCAGCACGAGGGGAAAGGCAATGGCCCTACGCTGCTCCCACCGCTAAGGTGCACCCAGACGTCCCCTCGGGCTATAGGCTGCCCCAGGCGGGGGTGTGGCCGCGGCTGGGCAGGATGTCACGTGTGGGAGGCTAAGCTGGGGCTGGAGGCAGAGCCAGACTCCGAGCAGGAGCAGTGGGCAATAGACTCCACCTTGTGGTGCCGGGATCATGCCCTACGTTCTCATCAGCACGCAGATCCGCATGGTGAGTGTGCGCTGCGGGTGCATGGGGGGAGGAGGGGATGTGGCAGGACCCTCTCCCTGCCTGCACCCCTCTGCCACTGGGGCGGGTGTTCCGCCTTCCTAGCGGGCATGCCAGTGCCTGGCTTAACGGGATCCGGACTGAGCCCTTCCTTCCCCCTCCAGAGAAGCCCAGCCTGTAGCAGTTCTCCCGTCCCCAGGAAGGGAGGGAGCTAGAGATTATTGAGAAATACAGGCGTAGAGGGGCAGGGCCGGGAACGACTTCCGTGGTTTGAATCATGGCAGCAGGGCGAGTTCTGGCTTCACTCGGGGTTTGTGGCAGCACCGAGTGCACTCCGGAGGGGATCGCGCGCTCTCGCTCTCTCCTGATCCTACTCTTGTCCCTGGTGGCAGCTGCTTCTCATTAACGTGCACTGATGTTTCTGACACGCTGCCTGGTTTATTTCCAGCTCATGGTTTTATTTATGTCTGGTGCTGGCGGTGGGTTTGACGATTTGTTTGTGTTTGAATTTACAAACAGCTGGATGACACTTGAGTTCCCCTCTCTAGGGGTGCGATGTACTACTGTCCAGCTGTGCAGGTAACTTAGTACCTTTGCAAACATCTGGGTGACAGCTGATTCCTTCCTCCCAAATTTAATTCCAAAGTGCCATGTATAGTACCGTTGCCTAGCTGTACAGAGATTTTAGTGTATTTTAAAAACAGCTGGATGACACCTGAATTGCTCCTGTAGTATTGAGATACTGCTGCCCAGCTTTGGAGGTAAATAGTGTTTTTGCAAACAGATGGATGGCGGCTGATTCCCGTCTCACCCTCCATTCCAGGAGTGCAATGCATAGTACTGTTGTCCAGCTGTGTAGGTACCTTCTGCAAACAGCTGGGTGACAGCTGACTTTCCACCCTCCAATAGGGGTGTGCTATACTGTTGCCTACTTGTGCAGCTAATATAGTCCTTGACTGTTCTCTTTGCTGTCAGGTAGATCCTGGCATGTGTTACCTGGTTGTGTTTTGACACTTGTTCCGGGCTTGATAAATTCCCTCCCCTTTCCCAGGATACATGGTTTACACTGAAAGAGTCTTGCACTTAGCCAGATAACTGTCTCTGGGGCACTGATTGGAACTTGGAGAGGAAAAACCCCAACGGACTGCCGTCTCCCTTTCCTGGGTGTCTCATATGGGCATCATTCAGGGTATGTCTATGCTAGACTTCTGTACCGTGAGTTAACTGGCAATCAGTTACAAAAGTCTAGTGTTGGCAAGCGCTTAGAGGGCTCTGACTGAATAGGAAGAAACATAGTCCATAGCTCAGAGATAATTTATGGGGGCAAAAGGAAACTAGCTGTAAGAGCCTGAGTGTGTCTGAGAAGGAATTGTCCTGCCATCCAACAAACCAGCACGTGTGTCTGCCTTCCCCATTGATTTTCACCATTCCCTGCAAATAGTCCTGCCTCCACTCCTCTCCCTGATGGCCCTGTCGAGGGAAATAGGAAGTCTGACCAAGTTACGCATGTTGAACATGCAACAATACAGTTGAAACCATGTTTAAATATGGTTGCTAGCATAGTTACAGCATAGTTACTGTGGAACGGGATGTTTTTCTGACAATTGTGCTCTGGGCACTCCCAACTAGTCTATAGCCTGCTTGTCTAATCTAGTCATGTACAGGACAAAAACATTGGTTCACACAGGTCAGGAAACACAGTTTCAGGTGCTGTCTGCATAAAGTCTAAATAGCAGGCAAAAGAGTTGTTTTGTTTTCTTTATTTTTTAAAGGGGAGACTTGTAAATTTTGACTGAAGTCCAGAATATGAGGATGTGATTTTTGCAATAGGAAGAACTTGACTGTGAAACAAATTAACCCGTGGTCAGGAGTTCTGTAAAAAAATACAAACTCAGGTAGTGGAAGAACTGCTCCTATTACTCACCTTCCTGAAACTGTGCGTGTATGTTATATACAGTGAGAAAACATGATGGTGTGTAGTGGAATAAAGACTTTCCTGTTTACTGTAATGGGTTTGGGGTAGATGCTTTAACCCTTCACAGGTTATGTAAATGATCCCAAATAGCAACACACCATCTCATCTTGTTTATAATTCAATATAATGCTTGCTATTTCCAGTGCTTTTAAAAGTTTTATTGGTACGGATTTTCATATCTCTGTGTCTGCATGGCTAGGTTACCTTAGTTACCACAGATAAGCTTTGGATGGTAGGAAAATAAATGTGTGTGTGTCACATAGTCACAGTGTTCATGTCTACAATTCATAAATCCTCAGAGCTAGTTACAAATACTGGCCTCAGTCCTGCAGTTGGATTGCTGTGGGCAAACTCCTGTCCCGTCTTAGAGTTCCCTTGGAATCAGTGGGTCTCTGCATGGCACAGAGGTCCACTCCAGTGGATCCAATTGCAGGATTGGGTCCTCTGATGTGTCATTGGAGAGTTTGGGATCTCAGAGCTTCAGTGGGATATAGCAAATGTTATAGATCTTAAAATTGTCATTGGTCCACAAGTGAAACAACAACTGAAATCAGTAGTGGGCTAATGTACGTTTAAAAAAAAAAAATCCTGCTTTCACCTGGTCCACATTGGCAATGGCCAGAAGGAGGGTGGCATGGCTGCCTTTGCTGTGCCAGATTTTTGTTCTTTGTACAGTAGCTTTTTGGAAGCTGCTCCGTGGTTTGGAATGTTGGAAAATAGGTCCAGCTGAGATTACTGGCCAGGATGTAGGTGAGGTGCTCAAAATAATGTATTTTTTAAAAATGCAGTTTATCCCGTGGTTGCAGAACTAAGGATTCCCTGCCATGGATAGAATGACTCTGTGTGTCACAAAACTGTCTAAAATGTGTGTTTGATTTGCTTTTTAAATATTAGTGAACAGAACTGTTAGTAAATTGCTTTAAGTACTATCTAGTGCTAGAGCTCTGCTCTTATTATAGAGGCTTTGTTGATTTAAGAAACATGCATTGTCACAGTTGTTGTGTTAATGGATGAGCACTATGGGGCAGAGGACTGACCTCATATTAATAACCCCTCCCTGTCAGAGGTTACATTGGGGTGGCTGGCTATGCACAAGTCCTCTGCTATCGTTGCTGTGCTGTGTTCCCATAGTCCTGTATGTAAGTCATGCTGCCACTGCGCTGGACTTAGCTGCCTCTACTGTCCGGTAATTTCATTGCTAAGCCAGTAGTGGGTCAAGGTGCACTGCTTCGGGCTGCTAGTTTGTTTGCTTCTGTAACATAGGCTCGCATAATCGTGCCCTTGCCCACCATCACACTGAGAACACGTTCCAGGAACAGCATGTACGTGATGTGTCCCTAAGGTTAGTTCATGGAAATCAATACAAGGTCTCCAGGCTCCGTTCCTTTCCTGTTCACAGGCCTTGCTATTTCCTTGGCATAACCCCTCTCTTCTCTGGCACTAAGGCCAGGTCTACACTTAAAACTTGCCAGTATAGTAATGTCTATTAGAGAGGTGTGTGTGTGGTTTTTCTTCATTTTTTTTTTTTACAATACTTTTATATCCTAGTGTAGATGCAGTTATACTGGCAAACAAGTGCTTTTGGCACAATAGCTTATTCCATTCAGAGCAGAGGTATAAGCTATAGCAGCCAAAGCACTCTTTTGCCAGCTACAAGCTGCATCCACACTAGGAGGGTATACCAGTATAGCTATATCAGCAAACCTTTTCTAGTGTAGACTAGACCTGAGAGACAGCTCCTCCCAAGGGCGCCAGGTTTGTATAATTTTTGGTGGTGCCCAGAATGGGTCCAAGCATAGCCGTCCCATACATAGGACAGACCAGGGCAATCGCCCTGGGCGCTGCGCTTTGGGGGCCCCATGCTTCAGGGGGATGCGGGGTCCAGGGCAGGGCCGGCTCTGGCTTTTTTGCCGCCCCAAGCAAAACAAAAAACAAACAAAACAAAAAAACGTGCAGGGCGGCCGGAGCCAGGGTGCAAACTTTCGGTGCCACTTACTTGGTGGCTCGCGGCTGCCTCCCCTGGCCGCGCTGGCTAGCAGGACTCCCTACGCTGCAGATGTGCCCCGGGCAGCAGAGTGCGCGCCCCGGCGAGCGGGTGGGAGAGAGAGAAGGGGGGCGGCCAGGGCTTCCTTCAGCCGGGGCGCTCGCCACTCGGCCCCTCCCGCTGCGCCGCCTGCCGGGAGGGCTCCATGTTGCTCCCGCCTGCAGGTAAATTGAAGGTCAGTGGGGAGGGAAGGACGTGGGCTGCCGGGCTTGCTGCAGACCTGGCACCGGCTGGGGCAGACGGAGTGCGTAGCCCGCTCCCAGAAGGGCGCTCCCCTCCTCCGCGTCGCCGCCCCCTACAGGGCGGCCGGAGGGGCAAACCAAAAAAAAAAAGGGAAAAAAAAGGCGGCCGTGCCACCCTAGGATTGGACGGAATGCCGCCCCGTAGAATCTGCCGCCCCAAGCATGAGCTTGCTCGGTTCGTGCCTGGAGCCGGCCCTGGTCCAGGGTGGCCTGGGTGGTTAGCAGGGGACCTGGCGCTGGCAGCAGCAAGTGACCCGGACCCAGCCTGCTCCGCCCAGCCGGCTCCTGGCATTGCTCGGGGGAGGGGGTGGAAGCCAGAAAGAGGTGGGGCGGGGCCTTGGGGGAAGGGGTGGAGTGAGGGCTGGGTGGAGCAGGGACGGGAAGAGGCGAGGTGGAGTGGAGCTGTCTGGGTCACTTGCTGCTGCTGGCGCCAGGCCCACTGCTAACTCCTCAGGCTGCCCTGGACCCCGCATCCCCCTGAAGCGCAGGGCCCCCCAAAGTGTGGGGCCTGGGGTGGTTGCCCCGGTCCGTCCTACGGACGGGACGGCTCTGAAAATACACCTCTACCCCAATATAACACTGTCCTCGGGAGCCAAAAAATCTTACCGCGTTATAGGTGAAACTGCGTTATATCAAACTTGCTTTTATCCGCCGGATTGCACAGTCCCACCCCCCCGGAGCGCTGCTTTACTGCGTTACATCTGAATTCGTGTTATATCGGGTCGTTGTGACGAACTGGGAC